GTTATCACGCTGAGAGCTTTTAGCAATGCTTCCAGCCATTAGCTTTGGACAGTGTGTGGCTGGAGGACTGGAGCAGGGAGGGTGGGAAGAGTGGCCTCCTGGTGACTCTGGATGATGTCAGTCATGAAAAAGGAGTCTTTATATAACACCACCTGTCCATCTCGTCAAGGAGGCACAATACGGGTCTCCAGGCATGTAAAGCTTCTGTATAAAATGACCTTTAACTGTTTTCATTTCACTTCGAAATACAAACGCTCAGGCATCCCTAATTCAGCCTGCAGCAGGAAAGTGCTTTAGGTCTTTGACGACCAGTATGTGTCCTTGAGCAAAGCACTGATTCAAAAGCTGTTAAGCAGCACAAAGCTGTTTGAAAGCTTATGATGTGTGATTMCCAGACTGCTGGGCAGCTATAAGTTCTGCAGCTGAGGTGTTTTTAGAAATGATTGCTGCACAAGTTAAATTTGGAGTTTGATTTTCTAGGTAAACTTTCAAATGGAGATCTCATTATGTGCAGAATATTCATGCATCAGCTAATATTCTTAGTGGTGTGAAGTTAACCCTAATGTATCACTTCACTGCAAATATATCCCAGCTATAGAACTAATATGCCAGTTATTTAGACACGTTAGTGGAGCCTTGAATGAAAGAGTTTAAAGCTTTTAATAAAAGTGGAAAAGCTGTTTTAAAGTAACCTCAATAGTTCAAACACCTGGTCAAAGCGCTCGCCTCGACATGTTATTGACAGATGACTAGGCTCCTGCCCTCCACTGGGGACCTCTGAGCAAACGGTTAAAAGATACACCGAGGCGATCTTCACGTCAATAAAAATCAATTATTTACATATTGGTGCTGGATTGCGAAAAAGCAGCTTGACTGCATTTCATAAGTGCCAGACTCACATGCATTTTGTAGGAGGTGAATAGAGAGAGCCCAGCAATTACCCTGCGTTTGATCCCATATTGCTTTTAAATGAATTTCGCACTGTCACAGGATGACACAGAACAGCGATTACATGCGACAGTTATTCCTTCCACCCTGCTCTGAAGCAATTAGGTTGTTGTGGAAGAATATGTAAGGTGCAGAAGATTTACATTTCAAGTAACATGCAAAGAAGTTTGTTTTATTCATCTATTTCTTACAATGTAAAACAGAGGTCAGCTCCGTAACTTTGTTGCAAACTAAGTTTGCCTGAGCTACGCATGTTGTATAATAAGAGGGGAGCAATTCTGTGTGGGTGTCTCAGTTATGCTGGAGAGGAAAATACAGCGGCAGCAGCAGCACAAGTAGTGTAGTTACACAAGACGCTGTGCCCAGTGGCAACTTGAGGAAAAACTAGTTTATTATTCCTTGTTTAGTCAACCTCTATGGACTTTTTCCTTGAAGTGTTTCATATGAACTATAAAGTAAAGCTGTACGACACTGTTTAAAATGAGCTTTGCTTTGGTACATACCATCACAGACTTTCCCTCCCCTCATGTTGCACCGAAATATTAAAGCTTTGGCCCCAAGGTCAACAGCAACAGACCTAGCAATCACACTGCACCCTTGCTGCACCACTAGAAGCAGCACTTTTTTTGATCCACTCCAATATCATTAGGTTATTAGTCGATTTTACTGGATTTAATCAGCACAGTAATTCCTCTCCATGGAAAGATGAGTCCCTCTCAAGAGCAGTTAGTCGGTCTACTATGCCTGCTGATTAGACACAAGGCCCCAAAATAATTCATCAAAAAACAGGAAAAAAATAATTTATCAAAAGTGCCTCTCCCAAAACTCGCTCAGGACCTTTGCTCCTTAATAATTAAACTCTGCAATTAGGCGTCTTACCATGCACTCAGTGTGAGGCTACATGCAATATTCATAACCACACATAATTATGCAATYCAGTATATTCACTGAAATAAGAGGCCATATATCCAAGGCGGGGTTGTCAAGAGGCAAGACATTTTTATTTGCTTTATAACACTGTTTTGTCTCAGAGATGAGCTGGTGGCTTTTAGAGACAAGATGAGAACAAGGACGACTGGCCCTCAACAATGCTGTGATGTGTTCTGTGACTCTGGAAGGAAGAAAAGGAAAGGTTTAGAGAAAGCAAATGAGAGAATAGACACTGAGTGGTGATGCCCACACCATAGGAAGCACTGATATCAAAGTCTATTCACAGAACACACCAAAGACCTACCTTAGTGGTATCTTGCACTGACCACGGTCAACAAAAGATGAAGAAGAAAAGAAAAAGGCATTAAATTAAAATGGAGTTGAGATGGGGTACTGTCACAAGATGCACTCTGATGAATWATGCATAGTGCTCCTCTCAGCATGATAAAGAACTGTATAAAAAAATCATCCTGATGTTGCTCGGAGCAAATAAGCAACAGCAGTGCTGTACAGTGGACACACTGTGGACAAGGTTGGCTTTCATCTTGAGGCACAGTTCAAAGCTATGGGCTGAACACAGAACAAACTGGCAATCAAAGCTAATGTGTAACTGGGCAGCGGTGCACTTCACAGAGCTGGCTGTCTCAAGTGCAGCAGGGATCACAGGCAGGCGCCTCTGTCACATCCCATGGTCCATTTTCAACACATGGCCTTTGGTACTTAATATTTTTTACTGTGGAAAACAGGCTTACTTGCTTTGGGAACAGTGAACAACTCAAAACATCTCAAGATATTTGTATGATAAACGAGAAGGAAAGCACATTTTCCACTAACATCACAGTAGTTAACGGTTTGTCAGTGACAGACACAGTTTAATCTTTGTCTGACTAAAATTCAGTAATATTGAATAAAGGCAATCAAATATCACTGGCACTTTAAGATGCGTGAACATTTTGACTTCTGAAGTGTTATTTTCATGTGTCTCTATAAGGAGGGACTGTAAAAATATTCTTAAGACTCACAAGTTATTTAAATGATAGCACAAAATATATACTGTGTTTTCAGGGTTAAATTTTATATAAGATTAAATGTTGAATTGATAAGAAATTTAGTGACACTGCTCAAAGTACATACCTTTTAAAAACAGATGGCCAAAATAAACATCAATTTTTTGTTTTCTCTGTAAAGAAAAAGTAAAAAACAATTTACACAAAAACAATCAAGAATAGCGCTTTCATCTCAAGACTTATCAAACCTGCTAGTAAACAAACCAAGTGCTTCAGTCCGTGGCATAAGCGCTGCAAAACAATGACTTAAAAAAAACATGACACACTTTTATTGTCAGTATAATACAGATGTGCTTAACATAAATAAGAGTTAAAGTCAAAGAGGCATAAAGGTCGTCACTCAGGACTGCTCTTGGGTCCACAGGGTGATTTATAACAACTTAATTTGACTGTGCGGTGTAATTTATCTGTGACAGAGCAAGTCGGGGAACTATCTGCATGTCGTGCACGCATGCAGGCAACAATATGCCATAACTGCACACATCTCACATCTACCCAATCAGTCAAGATGCTTTACAACTTCTGTCAGGGGCCTTAACAGTTCTCATAAATTATAAGGCCATTGTATGAGGTGCCAATAACTTTTGAAGGAGAATCTCAGCCAAACTGAACCATTAAGAAGTATGTATGTTTCCTACTAAAAGAAGTTCAGATAGGGTACTTGWTTAGCAAAGAAGCATCTGAAAAAGCTAGACCAATATATTTATGGTAAATTGCTTTGAGATAAGATTTTTTTCTCTCTTAACTGAAAATTTCCTTTATAAGCATAAAAAAAACACACACGATATTTGCATTTTCATGTAAAGCWGACAACAGGTTTGATTCTGTAACAGAAAACTTGCATTTTCTTTCACATCCCACTTCCTTTTCCAACAGCTCTGAGTTTTGAGTGAAATTTTGCATCTCTTTTATCTGTAGATCCACTGACACCTGAAGAACACAAGGCATGAATGATGCAGATCACTCATAGGCAACAATATGATATTAGCAGAAAAATGAGTGTGTGAACCTCAAGTCGGTGAGCAATATTTAGCTACGATTTATTTCAAATGTCACTACAGTGCCTATTGATGTTTTGTCTGAAAATCATAGCAAGCAGCAGAGTGTACAAGGCTACATTTTGACCAAATGTCAATATGAAGACCATTGACACAAACTGCATGTACAGAATGTGCACAGCAAGTGTGTAAATTGGTAAAAACAAAACATTTAATGCAAACTGCTGTCTGTGAGACCACTATGTGCTCGTGTGTTTTCATGTCTATGCATGTCTGCACTCTTTTGATACTAAAAATGATGTGCAGTGAGAAGGGAACCTGCTGATAGCACAGGATGCACTGATTTTCCTGGTGTCACACTGACTGAGTGAACCACAGATTGAAGGGCAGACAGCGATAACCACCTGCAGGGATTCACATCTTGTTCCATTTAACCACCTTTGGAATCCTCACAAGGGAAAATACGGGAAACTGGAAAACCACAGAATGAGAACAACAAGCAAAGCTGATGTTTTGTAGCCAATTAGAATTAAATTGCCTGAACTCACTGAAAGGCATAGTCCCTATCAAAGAAAAATGTCAAGTTTACATTATTGCTATGCTCTGCTTTAGATCAATCTTAGATCAATCTTATAAAAGTAGGACTATGCAGTTCTATTAAAACAATAAATCATGGAGAGAAAAGGTGTTTTAAAATAAAAAACATACATATTATTCCTAATTTGTCTGAGTTGTTCAAAGTGCAAAAATGAACAATATAAAGTATGCAGAAAACTCTAGACACACGATGTGCAGGTGCCTCTAATACTAGAATAAGTCATTTGAGATTGGGGAGGCAAAAAACAGATGGTCTCCATAAAGCATGGCGTAAAGCTCTCCCAGATGTTGAGAGGTGGTTGGGGATCCCGTGACATGCAATGTAAGGGAGGGTCTGGTGATGCAGGGCGAATTAGTGGTCTCTTTATGGGTGCATTAGGTGCTGAGGAGGGGAAAGCAGGGCCTGCCACTGAAGCTGCCTGTGAGCTACTACCAGGATTTTATGCTTTGATGAACCTACCCTTGAAAAACTGGGACACCCGTGACCGTATTCCGGCAAGCCCGTGCAACACCTCCTTCTCTTTATCCTCCTGGAAAACATAAATCAGTTTCTCATATCATCATCTAGTCATATTCCATGCATATGCAGCTCTAATCAGTAAATCTGTCAGCCTTCCCACCTTTCAGTGATATATCAGATTCGTAATACTCTCGCATATATGCAGTAAATCTCTGACAAAGCCCATGTTTCTTAAAAATTCAAAGACGAGGCTGCATGAAGTGAAGAACTTCACTTGAGAACAGATATTGAGACTGGAATGCCAGTTCAGCCTTGGAAGTCTCTGTACTGAAAGCTTCAGTGCACTCCAATGTGTCATCTCTCTTCTTAGCACTAAAACAGAGGCCTAGACAGGAAGTCAGAATAAATTTCCTTGGTTCGTCGTCCCCGCTGAGGACTAACAGAACCTCTCAGTCTGATTAATGACTGTACACTGCCTAATGAACAGTAATTGAATGGTATAATGCAGCAGGTCCTTAAAAGCCCAGAGGAGTCGTCGTCTTCCTCCGACTAGCTCTACGGAAAAGCAAGGCAGTGACTTTGTCTAGAGTTGATTATAGTTGACCTTGGATGGGGAGACTGAGGCCTTTGTAATGGCTAACCTAAGCTACAGGGAATAAGAGCAAGGAAAAACAGATGAAAAACAAATGAAATGGACTTGGATTAGCAAAGAAAAGGAATGGATCAATGCCTAGGTCAATAACGATTCGATTTTTTTATCACAAAATTCTTAAGGAGAGGAAGACGATTGATCAAACATCGCTCGTTTCATTGGCATTTCTAACAATATTAATTAAGAAAAAGTGCTTTGCAGACTGGTTAATAAATCAGCCAATACTGTTAAATCAAAATAAATGGTAGTTGTAAACACAATACTACAGCAGAGAGTACGAATCTACCATCCACATTTCCACAACGTGGGTGACATCTTCAACACAGACATACTTCTCTGTCAGAGGAATCAATCAGCTCCTTAACAGAGTACCCTCTAAGGCAACCTTCAGAGAGCCCAACAAAAGTCAGTCAGGTGATTATAAGAAAAGCTTTGATAAATGTGCATCAAGCTCAAGACCGTCATTTTTTCTGCTCCCTGTCACCGAGCTAGCCTGCTTTAACTCTCAGCGGACATCTTCACTTGGCAGAGATGCTGAATCTCGTTATTCTTTATTTGGCCTGGCCCACACAGGTCAATATCACATGCACAGCGGCGCGTCACTAAAGCACAGTCTGTAAATGTGTTTAAATTCAATGCAATAAATCATTTAAAGCTTCAGCTGAAAATGTAATCATGTAATTGAATTTGGTCATCAATATCTACTATATACACATGCACGCATGCGGATTGCATGGGGCATTTCGCAAGCGTATACGAGCGCCAGGGTGGGAGGAAATCTGTCAGAACTCAGCTAAAAGTATGAGTCATAGCAGCGCAGTTATCGCTCATCATTATTCACAGCCCTCTAAATGATGAGGTTGCTGACGACAAGACAGCAACAGTCTGTTTGGCCTCAAAGGGAAAGGGGAGTGTGCATGAAAGATAATTGAACTCTGAGATGGGTTGAGTTGCATCTTCAGAACTATTATTTTAGATCTGACACTGACTTCATGCTTAATTCTCCATAAAAGTAAAGGAACATTTTTATAAGGTCAACTCCTGGTTGAATGTTCCTTTTAAATGTGCTGACATGATCTTTTTGGTCTTTTTACTGTAGACTAATTCCTCAAAAGAGATGTTTGAACAAGACAATCACTTTCTCCATTAGGTCAGTGTCCTTTTGCAGACTGATAAAGATATTTTTTTCAAAAAGTAGCTGAGTCGGTACAGAGATGATTATTATTGTTATTTTCTATTATCCAATGGTCATTCCCTGCAATCTATAGTCAATTTGAATCAGCAACATTCATGTATGACTAAAAGCAATAAGTAATGAATTAGGCTATTGATGAGGTCTTTAGCCAGGGTCATAACTGCCCCCTGAAGTCAATAATTATCCCCAATAAGAATATCTTTATTGCAAAAGTGCATACAGCAGCAAAATCATCACTACACCAAAACATTCCCCCTGCGGCGTAATTGCCATTGCTTGGAATTATAGTTTTCATTAAAAAGAAATGTTCAAGGTTATTGATTGCTTAAATAAGACTCAATATCTTCTCATTTCAAAGCCGAACGAAATTGCTTGGAATAGTAATATCACCCAACTATTGTGCGCATTCATCACAGTTTCACAGCCCCATACCGCTGTCCCTCGAGGATTATTAGAGTAAAATAAGTGTATTTAAATGAGTGTAATTTCTGGGAACCGGAGATCCATGCAAAAACATCTGTACACTCTGCTCAGTTGTACTTCATCTCTGTGACCGTGCACAGAACCCAAACTAAAAGGACAAAAATCAAACACAGGCTTACAGCCTGATTGGTTCTAACTTTTACCATCATCACTTTATGCTGTGAAATGCATACTGTGAATTGTCCCTGTGAACAGTTAAAATCTCAACATGCACAAAACTGAAAATGTACTTGATTTTTTTTTTTCATAATTTATATTTCAACCTTATATTTTCCTCATTTCTCTAGCCCTGAAGAGTAGATGTGCTGATACAAGGTTAGCACACAATGCACAAAGAGWCCCACTGAGACTAAATAAACAGGTTACACATATTAGATAAAAATATGGTTGCAGGAACAGGTCTATGTGACTCCCATACAATTATGAAAATGATGATTACCATAATTGCTGGTTAGACCATTTTTATGTGACCCAATTCCAAAGCAAATGAGAAAATTAGACATAATAATGAACTGAAAATGAACTGAATGCGAGACAGAGCTACATAAAACTTATAACAAGAGTACTTACATCTTTCCTGGAAACTGCAGCTAAAGACTGCTGCAGACACGTGGTGTCCTCGTCATCCTGAAAGGCCTCACAACTCAAATCTTCGTGCTCTTCTTCCACTATCGTGGCCTCAACCTGTATGAAGGCAAAACAAGATACTGCATTCTTCGGCATATGCTGTACTCACTGCTGTATTGATTTTATGATATTTATATTTATGTAGCATTRACGAGACTTATTGTGAACATAAAATCACATTATACTGTACTAGAAGTACWTTTTCAATTCTGTTTGAAGTTGCAGAACAAAGATAAAGCTTAATGAAAAAATGTAGAAAAAAGCTACAGAAACATCTTTTATCCAACCTTTCAATATAAAAAAGAACAACTTGCTCTGACAAGAAAATTTGTAAAGCAAAACAAGATGMGCATAAAAATGTCTTTGTACAGTCAGTAACATACTGTCAAGGTAAATAAAAACACCAAGTGGATTTGTTTTCTGTGAGGAATTGTTACCTTTTGACAGGAATCACCTGTTACTTCCTGTCTTATAAACAGGCCAAACTTTTCAAAAACTGTATGCTACGATGCTCATCAGGTGAATTCGATAATTATTTTTACCTGATCTATTGGCAGCTCCACCTTCAGCTGGCGGTCTTCCTGAACCTCCGCCGCTCCTGCCATTTCACTCCTTTTGTTTTGTGCGTTGAACACGCTGCTTGCTGGGAAAAGAGATTAATCACAATTACTCCATCCGCTGGCAGCCACCCTCTCATTCATCTGCACTCCCCGTTTTTCTCTCTCTGCGTTACCCCTCCATCCCTCACTGCCCTCTTGTCCTCTCCTTTTTCCTCTCCTGCTCAAACTTACGAGAGATCAATACTTGCTGTCAAGCCATTTATTTATTTAGAGTGGTCCCACAGAAGAAAGGGCCAGACAGCTGTCCTGCCACAAATATGGCCGYCTGGCGTGAATCTTTCACCCTGACTTAAATCTAACCACAGACAGGGTGTTCCTGATTCATTTGAGGTATAGCTCACTCTGTAACATTACACCGGTTTTCCTCTTGTAAACAACTTCCTTTATGTTTGTGGCTGCTAAATCCGATGCAGGGCAATGTGGATAATGAAAAACACTACTGTGCTTAAATCCAACACTGTCGCCTTAAGTGTTTTATTTAAATTATAAATAACCATGTAGTTTAGATTAATCAGTGTTAAGGCTTCCTGCAGACACATGAAACACAAGAAAGACTGAGGAAAATGTAATGAACATTTTTTAGTCTGTTTGTTTAGCTCACAGATTGTTTATTTTATTGTTTTTAGCTGAAATTTATTTTTAAATCATTTCTAGTCAATTAAAAAAGGCAGAAAGATTAAAAAAGACAAGTGTGAGCATACATAGGGATGATTGTGATCCTTATTGTTCATTGGGGAGAATTAGAAATAAAGAAAACACTGAATATACCCTGTTATTACTACCCACAATGTTTGGTTGCAACACTTGTGGAACAAAAACTAATACAAATGGGTATAATYAAGGAATAATGTTAAACTCATAACTATTATATTGTGCCAGAGGGTTAATAAAACCTATGTCATATATTTTTATTTGAGCTGAGGTAGGTTTAAACCTACCACAACTTAAAGGTTTTACTTAATTTCTTTCTGGGATCAATAAAATATTTTTGAATTGAATTGAATTGAACTGAACTGAAGTGAACTGAATTGAAAAAAAAATTAGCCCAATTTACAGTCATAAAATGCGTGGCGCTGAATTGTAAGTTTAAAATGTTGGACAGCATTAGTAAATCAAACAAGGCTATTTTCCATGTAAAATTTGAGGAAGTTACTAAAACCAATAAAGCATTTCTCATTTAAARGTTGAGTTATACAAAAATCTTTAACTACTCTTCCTTACTAATSTATTTACTTAATTGTTTGTAGGTTTGCACATCTTTGAAATGGCATATTTTAGATCAGATTCTGGTAGAGGCCCCAGTTTGTATAAGATCTTCAACTCACAACACTGGAAGAATTTTCTGAATGTCCCAGAGGAAGCAGCCAGAAGGTCATTGATGCCTATCACCTTAATCCAGCCACTATGTCCTCCTCTGAGGAGGCAGAGTCTTAGGTCTTGAAGAAAGACAAGGTAATTTCCTCAGTAGAGGTTTCTGAGGTAGTTAAAATTCTCCCCAGTGGCAGGGCATCAGGGGTGGACGGGATTTGCACTGAGATGTTGAAAGCTCTAGACCACGAAAGGTATCCTGAATGTTTTACTTGTTTCACTGCTCCAAAACACCTGATCAAGTGACTGAAWTGCCTTCTTGAGTTCTGGAGAAGCCTGTTAATCACCCATTCATCCAAATCAGGTGTGTCCAGATAGACTGAATGTCATCTGTTAACATTTTTTAAATTTAATCACTCTTGAAAGGATGGTGAAGTAATTTCTAAAAATTATAAATGGTAATCTGTTCCTACAGTMAAAAACAAATGTTTAAAAACAGAAACTTCCTTTTGTGGAGCAGCTGTCTTAGCAAGGTTATACTGAAGCAATCCTGTAAAAAAATTAAATAAAGTGCTTCAAAATTTCTCAACAAGACAGACTGATAGTTCGTTTACAAGATAAATAAAACAGTTGTCCGAGGGATTTAATCACCAGGTGGTCTTCATGTTTAAATACATGCTGCTGTATTTTGACTTTTTGTCTTAAATTAATAACACCGTGAAGTTTGTCACATGTAGTTGATCTACATCTGAATAGTTGCAATATGTAAACCTTTAAAACTGTGAGAGTAAAAGCTCTTTTTTCCCCATGATTGTGCACAGCTGAAACAACATTTGCAATACCAGAAACTGAGAGAAAAAAATTACTTTTCATTACTGAAATACTTAATCAGCTTATCGTTTGGATTCCTACATCACAAGAAAATGAAAGCATTTCATGTCAAGCTTCGTAGTTAACAAGCTTTCTGAATTCAGATTCAACAAAATGGCCTGATTGAGTTCATCTATGATTTAAGCCCCTTGATAGCTGTTGTGGAATACTGATTATGTATCACCTTGACACTGTCCAATTGTTCATATCTTATGATATCCCTGGACGTCATCTTCAAGCTGACCTACTTCATGTACCAGAACGAGGCACATTCTGATTGGTTGTTCATTATCACATAATGATAGTGAACAGTATAACTTTGCATGTCCGCCGATGACAGGCGGGCCCACATCTTACAGACTTCGTGAT